CTTAATAAACACATGTACTTTTATCTGTTTGTAGATTGCACAAACTGATCCAGATTTCGCAAATTTTGTTGCAATTTCTACAAAATTTTTTGCGGATTCCGCAAAATTGCCTGTTTTTGGAGCAATTTTGAGCAACACATTGTTGTAGCGATTTGTCCGTCGAATCCAAAACAACAAAAAAGATCAAAGAAAAATAGTAATGTTGCGGATTGCGCGAAAATTCTATTTTTAGCCTGTTGCGGAATCTGCTTATAATTAAAAAAATACTCAACGTAATAAACTTAACCTTTTTTGAGAAAAACGCGTTTCAAATTTCAAACTTTGTTTGGATCTTTTAAATCAGGAGTCAACAACAATATCAACTAAGCACTTTTGTACGTAGATTTTCTAATAACCGGTAACATCATAATTTGCTATCAGCTAAGTTGGAGTCGGGTAATTCGAAAATGTCTTGTGTTCGAAATTGAGATTTTAATTAAGTAATTATTATTTCAGTTCGGATGTCTGAGGTCTTTTGCCATAGACCCGGAAGAACAAATCCCGTTGACAATTTCCCAGCCGACCTAAGGGTCCGAGAAGTTCCATCCAAACAAAAAATACATTCAGTGGTTAAGCGCATACGAATATTGTTCCTTGTAACGCTTTCCCCCATTTTACAAGGAAGGGTCTAAATTAAACAATATTCAGGAAATGGTAGAAATGACAGCAAATATACAAACATGTTCAGCTCTTTCATTTAATTGGACGTTTTTGGCCTCTTTTCGGTTTCCGCCAGACTCCGTTGCGGACGAGCCTTGCTTGAGGGAACTCTTGCCCGAAGAGAGGCTTTGGTGCTCGGATGCTTCGGAGGATCGACCACTCGCGTTCCATTTCTTCTCTGCCTCTTCAAGCGGACCTGTTTTCATTGGCAGATATTTGAGCCCAGGGATGTTCAATACTTAAGTGTCCGTTACTCAAATACTTACAACAGTATTTACAATCGTAATCTTTTTAAACTCATTTCAATTATCATTTAAAAGTGACAAATGATCATAAAAACAAATAATCAAACAAAAAGTGACAAATAATCATGAAAACCATTGATACGTTTGATATTATATAGGAAAAATGTCAAAAAGACCTCCATCTCAGTCACAATTACATCAAAAAAGCGTTGTAACTTTTGCAACGACACAATACACTTTATATTGCGTTTACCGTGAACGTTTACTTTCAATTCCTACTTTTCATCCTAATTTGGCATTGAAGTTTTTTCGATCAAGCCAACGTGGTTCGTTTGAATCTTTGTTAAATTTGTTTTTCATATTATCAAGTGGAACATCCCTGATTGTGGGGCAATCAACTCGTCTCGCTTCCCAGGAATCACTCACAGGTGTTCAGCCATCTGCAGCTTTTTCAGTCTTTCCTGTCTTTTGCGCTCCTCCCGATTTCTTCTTTTAGCCGCATTTTCAAATTCTTCCTCGGCGTCCAAATCTGCAGAAAAAAAACATGCACAAAATCAAATTTGAAAGCATAAAAATATCAAGATTTTTCTTCCAGAAAAAAAAACAAGGCTCACGACCAGCTGAAATTTTTCTTGGGGGTAAGGGTGGCGGTTTTTCGAGAAAAAAAATGAAAATTTTTTGGATCTGTTTTTAGGTCAAGTAATTTCTGATTTTCCGAGTTCTCTGAAATTACTATGAGGACCCTATTTTACCAAAAAATTTCTGTTTCGCAGGCTGGGGCACATCTAGGGTTTTCTCGGTGGGGGGGGGGGGGCTGATTTTCGAAAAATTTACGAAAACTTTGTCGACAGTAGCGGATTTAGGGACGGGGAAAGGGGCGGACGCCTCCCCTCTCAGGAATTCGACTCCCTGCCGACCCAAAGGTCCCCCTTTGTACTATTTTGAGACATCCATTTTTGGCTGCCTAACCCTAAAGTGTTTCTAAAGGCACCTTTGGCGCCAACATATACTAATTTTTGACGGGGGTGCAAGCGCCGAAAAAACGCAATTTTTTGATCAAAAATTTTTTCCAAAAAGTGCTTAAAAACGCCTTTTTGGCATGTTTTTTTCAAAGAAGTTGCCTGCCGCGCAGAAAATTTGGTCAAAATGTTGCATTTATAGTGATTTTGGAGAGCTCAGAAAATCAATTTGGTCGACCTATAAAAATGTCGACAAAATTTTCGAAATTTTTTTTAAAATCCGCCCCATCTCGAGAAAATCCTAGATGCATTGACACTCAATGACAGTAAACTCAGTTATACTTAGTGGCAAGACAAACTTTGGACCGACAGAACTAATTAAAAAGAGCAATCTGCCGATTGAGAGCAGAGATTGCATGCAAATGTGATTTATTAGGCGGCCTTGACGTACAAATTATGACTGAAAAAATTAACTTATGCTTGTAAAAATCTTCTTATTAGATTTAATACAATTCATCCACAATGGAAAGTGCCAAAAAGGATCCGTTAAGCCCATCACGGAGAAGTTCCATCCAAACAAAAAATACATTCAGTGGTTAAGCGCATACGAATATTGTTCCTTGTAACGCTTTCCCCCATTTTACAAGGAAGGGTCTAAATTAAACAATATTCAGGAAATGGTAGAAATGACAGCAAATATACAAACATGTTCAGCTCTTTCATTTAATTGGACGTTTTTGGCCTCTTTTCGGTTTCCGCCAGACTCCGTTGCGGACGAGCCTTGCTTGAGGGAACTCTTGCCCGAAGAGAGGCTTTGGTGCTCGGATGCTTCGGAGGATCGACCACTCGCGTTCCATTTCTTCTCTGCCTCTTCAAGCGGACCTGTTTTCATTGGCAGATATTTGAGCCCAGGGATGTTCAATACTTAAGTGTCCGTTACTCAAATACTTACAACAGTATTTACAATCGTAATCTTTTTAAACTCATTTCAATTATCATTTAAAAGTGACAAATGATCATAAAAACAAATAATCAAACAAAAAGTGACAAATAATCATGAAAACCATTGATACGTTTGATATTATATAGGAAAAATGTCAAAAAGACCTCCATCTCAGTCACAATTACATCAAAAAAGCGTTGTAACTTTTGCAACGACACAATACACTTTATATTGCGTTTACCGTGAACGTTTACTTTCAATTCCTACTTTTCATCCTAATTTGGCATTGAAGTTTTTTCGATCAAGCCAACGTGGTTCGTTTGAATCTTTGTTAAATTTGTTTTTCATATTATCAAGTGGAACATCCCTGATTGTGGGGCAATCAACTCGTCTCGCTTCCCAGGAATCACTCACAGGTGTTCAGCCATCTGCAGCTTTTTCAGTCTTTCCTGTCTTTTGCGCTCCTCCCGATTTCTTCTTTTAGCCGCATTTTCAAATTCTTCCTCGGCGTCCAAATCTGCAGAAAAAAAACATGCACAAAATCAAATTTGAAAGCATAAAAATATCAAGATTTTTCTTCCAGAAAAAAAAACAAGGCTCACGACCAGCTGAAATTTTTCTTGGGGGTAAGGGTGGCGGTTTTTCGAGAAAAAAAATGAAAATTTTTTGGATCTGTTTTTAGGTCAAGTAATTTCTGATTTTCCGAGTTCTCTGAAATTACTATGAGGACCCTATTTTACCAAAAAATTTCTGTTTCGCAGGCTGGGGCACATCTAGGGTTTTCTCGGTGGGGGGGGGGGGCTGATTTTCGAAAAATTTACGAAAACTTTGTCGACAGTAGCGGATTTAGGGACGGGGAAAGGGGCGGACGCCTCCCCTCTCAGGAATTCGACTCCCTGCCGACCCAAAGGTCCCCCTTTGTACTATTTTGAGACATCCATTTTTGGCTGCCTAACCCTAAAGTGTTTCTAAAGGCACCTTTGGCGCCAACATATACTAATTTTTGACGGGGGTGCAAGCGCCGAAAAAACGCAATTTTTTGATCAAAAATTTTTTCCAAAAAGTGCTTAAAAACGCCTTTTTGGCATGTTTTTTTCAAAGAAGTTGCCTGCCGCGCAGAAAATTTGGTCAAAATGTTGCATTTATAGTGATTTTGGAGAGCTCAGAAAATCAATTTGGTCGACCTATAAAAATGTCGACAAAATTTTCGAAATTTTTTTTAAAATCCGCCCCATCTCGAGAAAATCCTAGATGCATTGACACTCAATGACAGTAAACTCAGTTATACTTAGTGGCAAGACAAACTTTGGACCGACAGAACTAATTAAAAAGAGCAATCTGCCGATTGAGAGCAGAGATTGCATGCAAATGTGATTTATTAGGCGGCCTTGACGTACAAATTATGACTGAAAAAATTAACTTATGCTTGTAAAAATCTTCTTATTAGATTTAATACAATTCATCCACAATGGAAAGTGCCAAAAAGGATCCGTTAAGCCCATCACGGAGATACGTTACCCTGTCGCTGCATTTAAAAAACTTGTATTTTCTTTCACAAATTTTGCTCTACTTAATTAATTTAGTCTGTTCAAACTCATTGCAGATCTCTTTATTTTTAACATCTCAATAGCACCATGAAAATGCGAGATCGTCGATTATCCGATGATTATGCTAGCCTAATTTTTAAATAATGCTATGAGCATCCAGATTTTACTATAAAACATTTCGACGCTTCGGATGCAATTGCCCGCCGTGGTTATAGGTTTTGAGCGAAACTCGGATCTACTTAACAATCCCCCTATTGTATCTACTAAAGAATCTCCACCCCTGTAAGTGAAAACAGTAATTTCGCACAAGAGCATTGTATATAAATTCGGATTTCGCTGCATTCTGATTGGTCGACAGTTTGCTGCAAGTAACCTTAGTAACGATCTCCTCCCATTTCTTGAAATGGGGATTGTTAAGTAGATCCCGTAGTTCTGCTTTCTGAACTTTCGACGTTATGTTTATTTCAGTTTTAATTTTCGTTGATGTCTAGACAGTTGCTCTTTTTAATTAATTCTGTCTGTCCGAACTTTTTGCAACTCTCTATACTTCAATCTCAATTTAGCTGAGCTTCTTATTGACCTTTCTATAAGTATTGATATTTTATTTTGTAGCCGTTGATAAAATTGATACCATTGAAAACATGTACAAGCAGGTTGACGTCTCTCCATTCATAAATCATACCAATAAAGTTTTTTCATAATTCGATTAATCTGGTTTTTATGCCTAGTAAGTTGAAGCGTTTACGAGCTGTTTGAGTTGTTCAAATTATCATGTAATTGACCAACACTGAACTAACTCCACTTCTCAAGCCAAATTTTAACTTCAATATTATTTTTGTGCTATTCATATTTTAAAAAGACAGATTTGTATTCGGTTTTATCTTTTTATCAAAATGAAAGTTTCGAGTTTGTCAAAAGCTGCAGCACCTGCGTTGTCCTGGTGCACTAAGTTCACACGTCTTAATATCCCCACTTTGTCTTCCAAAGAAGTTACTCTCAGCAATATATACCTCAGGGACAACTCACAGTCCACACGCAGTCAACACCCTACAAGTCAACAACGTCTGCACCTCATAAAGGACATTGACCTTGAAGTGCATCCGGTGGACGTCAGACTGACAGGCGACGCAAGTGGATTCAAGGTCATTTGGTCGGACAGAGACGAGAGTTCATATGGGTTCGACTGGATTCGAGAGAATGTCCTCAAAACTGAATTGAGATCCAACATAAGGAAGGAACCCTGGTCGAGCCGAGAAATGAGCAGAGAGAAAGTATCCTTAGATTACAAAGATGTTCTGAGCAACACCGAAGCTCTAAGTTAGTTCCCAATTCAATTTTGTCACCTTGTAAAACTAGAAATCACAACTAGCGGTATAAGCACTTGATAGAAAGTATTCATGAACTCCGTTTTTTTTAATAATTACCCGCACTGACGGACAAAACTTGAGATTCAATTCGATGTAAGTCGGTTTTTATACAGATAAAATACGGTAGCCCATTCAGATGATAAAGATCGAGTTAGAACAGGTTTAAGCGTAAATTACGGTAGAAAAAAAATTCAATTTTGTTGCCTAAACAATTGATGTAAATTGATATAAATGGACTTCACAAGTCAGTCAAATCGATCGAAGCCTCGACAAAAATAACTTAACTTACAATAATTTTAATTAACTTTTGTTTTTGTTTCGAAACTTTTTTACTCAAGAAAAAATTCAACAGAGCTTCAGAGAGCAAGAGGCATCCGAGGAGAGTTTTCTTACCGCAAACTTTTGAATCAAAGAAAAATTGAATCAAAGGAAACCTTTTTTAAAAAATTTGCGAATTCAAGGATTCCCGTGGTTATAAAATATAAAATCATGCAAACTGTCTTCAAATGTTCTGCTCATTTTCAACGTTTTAGGCGCAATTTTGTCAAGCGAACAACATAAAAAACACCATGAACAACCTTTTTACCTCTTGGTTATACTCATTGTTTGGTTTGGAACAAACAGTTACAAGAAAAATCGATTCAAAAGCATGCATTTTAATATTAATTTATTTTTTTTTGTTTGATAGTTGAAAAAAACTTAAAATAATCTGTAAACCAGTCGTATCAAATTAATAAAAAAACGAAAAAATGGATGAAAAGGATTTAAAATGATTTAAATTATTTTATAGTCACTAAAATCAGTATGAATACTGAAACAAAATGCAGCCAACAAATGGATTTAATCGAAATAGAATAAAAATTGTTTAAGGTACATTTTTCAAAGTAAATCGGTTTTATATCATTTCAATTTGATTGTTTTTAGTTTTTTGCTTCATTATCTGTATGAAATTGATTGCAATTCAATGCTTGTCAGTACGGCTGTTTTCTCCATCTACTTGGTTTCAAACCCAGGAGGATGAAGTCATGAAATTTTATTTTCAATGCTCAGTTTTACGCTGTCAAAATAGCGAACGCAGTTGGGTAGTATTTTTATTATTCTTTAAGTTTGTATCCAAGTTCAACTGCATAATTATTCATAATTTTTCCGACCATTGAAAATGGGGAGGAATTTTGTATGCGGGTGTGTTTTAGTTTTTTTTTGTTTTGAACCCAAAATCAAGTACCACAAATAGTCATTGGACTGCATTGAGTGATATATAATATTAAAGCCCTTACAGTCGTGAGTCAAACCAGATTTTTAAAAAAGTTTCCACAGTTTTGAAAAAAAAACCGGTTTGAAAAGTTAGAGTTCGAGCGAATGAAGCGAGTGTGTAGTTTTATTTTAATTGATTAATTGCTTAAAAGCTTGCAATAGCTTAAATTTAGACGTAAAAATTTAATTTTACTTGGGTAACGTTAGTATACTTCGAGTATTTAAGCGCATTTTAGAAACAAGTTTTTCAAAATTCAACCTCGAAAAATTTTTCGAAAGTTTTTTTTGAATTTTTTTCGTTTTATTAGTAAATTTTCTACAAACTTTTTTTTCAGTTTGCTTATTCCAGTATGACTATCGAGTATGCTAAATCCCCCGTTTTTTGTTAGGTTCCTTTTATCACACCATGCCGAAAAAAATGTGGTTGTATTTCTTTCAGGCTATGGTCGGAGCATTCTGTGCTACTTGCACAGTAACCGGTTATCCTTGTTCTAAAAAGAGTTTTTAAAAAAATTTTACTTTTTAAAACCACAGTTTTTCCATTTGTTTTTTATTCATTCCTGCCTTATTTGAGTTGACCTTATTTGATTTCAAAAAAATAGGTTATCAGAGGCATAATTGAGGCAAAAAAAAATAAAATTAGATAAATCGATTATGAATAAAAAAATAAACAAGAAAAGGCGGTTAAAAAAAATAGTATTTACAGAAAAAGGCTGAGATTTCAGATCAACATTAATACATGTTTTAAAACAGTCAAAATTTCATAAGAAATTTTGTAAGTTTAATTATATTGATTTTCTTAGTAAAATCTTTTCACCCATGAACTTTCTATGGATAAACATAGATTTCATACAGAATATGTATAAACTTTCTACAGATTATTCTTCATTTTTGACAAATTTGGTTGACTTTTTGCGCCCATAACTTTCACGTAGCCCCACTTTTGCCGCTCAAATCGGTTAGGTTGTGGTAGGCCTGAAGCTAGAAGTCAAATGAGAGCAAGGAATTGTGACAGTGGATCGATTACACGATCTAAGGGTCTCAAAAAAGCGTCTCACACCACTATGCCTCTTGAAAAGCTTGGACAAGATTTCTTTTTAAATCAAGAACAGAATTTGATGCAAAAACCCAAATAAAAGGTAATTCAATTATTTTTTTGATAATTTTGAGAATTCTATAATTATTTCTTTGATTAGCCAGCATAAATCAATAGTCGCTTGTTTTTCTGCTCCTAGACCTTTTCTGCTCTTAGATCATTCTGCTCATTGACTAGCCAGCCGTATTTATTCTTTTTCCATACTGCGAGGTTGATTGTCAACTGGCAATGAATCCGCTGATTTTCTCTCACTATGACGTGAATGAGTTTTAATTTGGTTTTAATAGTACTCAGTAGTTGACGGTTCGTTTCTTTAGCCTTATTTTTTTGATGGAAATTTGTTTTTTTTTTATGAAAAAGTACCGAATTTTTAGATGTTAACTTAGTTGTGATTTGTTTTTTTTTGCACTCACAGCTATGATCGGAATATTATCTACCACTTGCATAGAAACCGGCTACCCTAGTTATTCTAAATGCAGCATTTTCTATCATTCCATTCCAAAATAGGTTGTGGCCAGAAATTAGTTCGAAAAAACTATCCGTTTGTATTTATGACATATAGAAAAAAAGAGAAGATTTTATCGGAATATTCAGAGATTCGTCGTAAAAGGAGTAGTCCTGATAATTTTGTGCATTTAATCAGGGTATTTTTTTCTCCAATTGAAAAAATAATCAAAAAGCGAGTCTCTAAGTAAATCAGAGGCCAAGCGGAACCACCTAGATAATAAATGAGCGTGAACAAATTTTTATTTTCATTACAATCAGTGGACAACCCGGGTGCTTATCATCAACACCAAAAATGCTTATCATACAATTCGTACATCAATAGTATGGAAAAACGCAAGTCATAAAATTTCCCAAAACTTCGAAAAATGGTTGAAAAAAGATATGAACTAATTTCTATGGCTGCTTGATTCTAATAAACGCTGGAAACTACTTTTTTATATTGCATGTTCAATTATGCTTGATAATTGAAAAATTCATGTTTTAAAAAAAATGATTGTTGAAAAATTTTGCCAAAAATTGAAAGTTTGTTACCTTCGGTAAACCATTTGTGAAAGACAGCTCTAAGACAATTCTAGTCGTTTTCTATGCATTGTAAATACAAGACCGTCCAAACTTTGGTGCTTTGAGTAAACCAAGGTCTTTTTCACTTGCGATCGGCTACGAACCTAACCCAAAGTTTTTCAAAGTTAAATTTAGAAAATCAACTCCTTTTTTTTATGGAAAAATATTTATCGTACAATTTTTATATATGGGAAATGCTTGTCATAGAGATTTAATACAATTTTTTGTACATTTGGAATTGTATGGAATTGCATGGTAAGAAGTTTTTCATATATGGAAATTGTATAATAAGAAGTTTTGGTCAACCCGGGGACCGAAAGAATAGAAAAATCATTTCGTTCACAAACGCTTAAAAACTGAGGATACAGCACAGAATCGAATTTGAGGCAGACGAGATGCCTCTCACATCTGGCATTCAAAATTTTGAACCCATGAGCAGCCGAAGAGTTCTTTTTTCGTAAAATTCTACATCTATTTTTTGGAATTTGAAAGATATACTCATCCAAAGATTTCGAAAAGTGCCCCAAATTGTTCATATTTGCTTTCATTATTGTTTCTTCAAAAACATGCTGTGGTGCAAAAAAATTGCAATAAATAGGGTCTCCATTCTCTTAGGATCTTTAAAAAGTCTTTGTTGAAGACGTCGGACAAATATGGTCAACTTAAGAAGGCAAATATTTTGAAAAACTTTGAACACTAGTTGCGTGGCTGATACAGTTGGGCTTGGTTAGGGAAATGTTACGAGACCATTTGGAAGTACGGCTTGTGCATCCTCAGGGGTTCACCATTGGAGCCCAGAGGGGTGGTGGATATCTCCAGACTCATCGGGGACATCAAGAGATCACGGGAGTACGCGGAGGCAGACAGCAGTGGAGAGAGATACTTCGAACTGAACAGCAGGGAAGACAAAGCACACTTCGATCTCGGATACTCCGAGTTAGTCTCAGACTCACTTCTAGTTTTAGATGCTGACTTCCTTGTGCATCAATTCACCATATGCCATGTGTTTCTTTTTCTTTTTATTTGCTAGACAAGTTCAGTGGTGATAGAAACTTATTTATCAATGCGGAATCAGGAAGCTCTTAAAAGCTTCTCAAGCGAACATCTTGTTTGAATTTTTTTGTGCGTATTTTAGTTAATGATGAAATTTCTCCTCAGATTTGATCAAAAAATGCGGTTAAAGATGACGCTTTTGTTTGTGTGTTAGTAAACCACTGGGCATGCACACAGACAACTCGGACTTGGAGTTGCCGGCAGGTGTTATCGGTCTGCAGGTGGTCAAACAGGCAGAGAGGGGAGGGGACTCTGTGTTCGCAGACTGCATCAAGGCCGCAGATATCCTCAGAGCAGAAGACCCCACAGCTTTTCAGTGAGTTTTAACACAGCCAAATGGTCCTACCAACTCCAAAAAATGAAAAGAATTTCTGGCGTAGTGTGGACACTAATCAACGCGTCTTAAGATTCAACGTATTTCAATGTCGACTAAAAATCGGGAAAAAAATTAAAACAAAAAACTTAAATAAATAAATTATTTTGTAAACCGAAAAACAGTTTTTAACATTTACTTCGCATTATAACTTTTGAGCAGAAAATTGAAGCACCAGATTCATTTTTTAAGAAACAAAATCTCCTTGAAAATTTAAACACCTGCCAAAAGTCTTTCCAGGAAGTGTATGAAATAGACAATTTAAAAAGTTATCTCATAACAAACTATTATAGTTTAGAAAATTTTAAGCCAAAACTTATTTGCATATCCCGTATCTTGATATATAGAATGTATACCTACTAAAGTAGAGTGTCACCTAGCTCTAATTGGCTCAAATATTAGCTTCCAAGAGCTAAATTTGTTTTGAATTTTTTATTCCGACTATTTGAGAAATGGGGAGGAACTTTGTATTCGGGTGTGTTTAGTTTTTTTTTGCTTTTTGTTTTCCCTGTAAAACCAGCTACCACAAATAATAATCAGACTGGATTGAGTGATATATCATTTTAAATCAAATTAAAGTTCTTTCAGTCGTGATTCATACGAGATTTTTAAAAATTTTGAAAATTTTTTCCAAGTGTTGAGAAAAACCGGTTTGAAATTTTTGATTTTCGTCTTAATTCGAGCGAATAAAGCAAGCGAGCAGGCTTACAACAGCTTGATTAGGAGAAATTTAAAATTTAAGCCCTAAAAACTTAACTTTGAGCAAGTAAAAATATTTTTGTAGTTTTTTAGCTTCGTTCTGGGAACTTAAAATTTTCTGCAAAAAAAATTGAAAAAAAAATTGAAATTTAAAAAAATTGAAAAATTGATAAATTGAAAAATCGAAAAATTTGAAATTTTTTGATTTTTTTAAATGTTTTTCTAGCCAATTTTCTACAAAAATGTTTGAGTCACATTTGCCTGTATTTCTATAAATGTCAATTATGACTAAAATATAGTTTTACATCAGACTTTATTTATCACCCCATGCAGAAAAACTAATTTGAAAAAACAAGCCTCATCTTAGTTTTGTATTAAGACTATGGTCGGAACATTCTGTGCTACTTGCACAGTGACCGGCTATTCTTGCTCTATTTTTTAGTTTGTCAATAACCATAACAAAATTTTGAGATGGAAATTGACATTAAGACAACCTTTTTTGCGCTTTGTGTCCAATCCTTTATAAACTGTCGTGAGCGTCTAGAAATGCTTTAAAATTCGGACTTCATTGATCTTTGTAAAATTCGAAATGGTGGTAGACTGTATAACTGCGGTTGCATTCGGCGCAAGTGGTACTGTGCGCGTGAATCATAGTTTGCTGCTTATTTAGACGGGGATAGTCTCATGATGGATGGGCCGAATGATGGAATTTTTTCAACCAATCAAAATCAGTAATTGCTCTACTCGCGGAATGGTTTTTGCACCAAACCAGTGTCAATAATAGCTGAGAATGAATAATAGCAAGAATATACAATTCATGCACATATAAAAAGTGTGTGTTTTGCTCTTCCATCATTCTAAAAATCGGGAAAAAAATTAAAACAAAAAACTTAAATAAATAAATTATTTTGTAAACCGAAAAACAGTTTTTAACATTTACTTCGCATTATAACTTTTGAGCAGAAAATTGAAGCACCATATTCATTTTTTAAGAAACAAGATCTCCTTGAAAATTTAAACACCTGCCAAAAGTCTTTCCAGGAAGTGTATGAAATAGACAATTTAAAAAGTTATCTCATAACAAACTATTATAGTTTAGAAAATTTTAAGCCAAAACTTATTTGCATATCCCGTATCTTGATATATAGAATGTATACCTACTAAAGTAGAGTGTCTCCTAGCTCTAATTGGCTCAAATATTAGCTTCCAAGAGCTAAATTTGTTTTGAATTTTTTATTCCGACTATTTGAGAAATGGGGAGGAACTTTGTATTCGGGTGTGTTTAGTTTTTTTTTGCTTTTTGTTTTCCCTGTAAAACCAGCTACCACAAATAATAATCAGACTGGATTGAGTGATATATCATTTTAAATCAAATTAAAGTTCTTTCAGTCGTGATTCATACGCGATTTTTAAAAATTTTGAAAATTTTTTCCAAGTGTTGAGAAAAACCGGTTTGAAATTTTTGATTTTCGTCTTAATTCGAGCGAATAAAGCAAGCGAGCAGGCTTACAACAGCTTGATTAGGAGAAATTTAAAATTTAAGCCCTAAAAACTTAACTTTGAGCAAGTAAAAATATTTTTGTAGTTTTTTAGCTTCGTTCTGGGAACTTAAAATTTTCTGCAAAAAAAATTGAAAAAAAAATTGAAATTTAAAAAAATTGAAAAATTGATAAATTGAAAAATCGAAAAATTTGAAATTTTTTGATTTTTTTAAATGTTTTTCTAGCCGATTTTCTACAAAAATGTTTGAGTCACATTTGCCTGTATTTCTATAAATGTCAATTATGACTAAAATATAGTTTTACATCAGACTTTATTTATCACCCCATGCAGAAAAACTAATTTGAAAAAACAAGCCTCATCTTAGTTTTGTATTAAGACTATGGTCGGAACATTCTGTGCTACTTGCACAGTGACCGGCTATTCTTGCTCAATTTTTTAGTTTGTCAATAACCATAACAAAATTTTGAGATGGAAATTGACATTAAGACAACCTTTTTTGCGCTTTGTGTCCAATCCTTTATAAACTGTCGTGAGCGCCTAGAAATGCTTTAAAATTCGGACTTCATTGATCTTTGTAAAATTCGAAATGGTGGTAGACTGTATAACTGCGGTTGCATTCGGCGCAAGTGGTACTGTGCGCGTGAATCATAGTTTGCTGCTTATTTAGACGGGGATAGTCTCATGATGGATGGGCCGAATGATGGAATTTTTTCAACCAATCAAAATCAGTAATTGCTCTACTCGCGGAATGGTTTTTGCACCAAACCAGTGTCAATAATAGCTGAGAATGAATAATAGCAAGAATATACAATTCATGCACATATAAAAAGTGTGTGTTTTGCTCTTCCATCATTCTAAAAATCGGGAAAAAAATTAAAACAAAAAACTTAAATAAATAAATTATTTTGTAAACCGAAAAACAGTTTTTAACATTTACTTCGCATTATAACTTTTGAGCAGAAAATTGAAGCACCATATTCATTTTTTAAGAAACAAAATCTCCTTGAAAATTTAAACACCTGCCAAAAGTCTTTCCAGGAAGTGTATGAAATAGACAATTTAAAAAGTTATCTCATAACAAACTATTATAGTTTAGAAAATTTTAAGCCAAAACTTATTTGCATATCCCGTATCTTGATATATAGAATGTATACCTACTAAAGTAGAGTGTCTCCTAGCTCTAATTGGCTCAAATATTAGCTTCCAAGAGCTAAATTTGTTTTGAATTTTTTATTCCGACTATTTGAGAAATGGGGAGGAACTTTGTATTCGGGTGTGTTTAGTTTTTTTTTGCTTTTTGTTTTCCCTGTAAAACCAGCTACCACAAATAATAATCAGACTGGATTGAGTGATATATCATTTTAAATCAAATTAAAGTTCTTTCAGTCGTGATTCATACGCGATTTTTAAAAATTTTGAAAATTTTTTCCAAGTGTTGAGAAAAACCGGTTTGAAATTTTTGATTTTCGTCTTAATTCGAGCGAATAAAGCAAGCGAGCAGGCTTACAACAGCTTGATTAGGAGAAATTTAAAATTTAAGCCCTAAAAACTTAACTTTGAGCAAGTAAAAATATTTTTGTAGTTTTTTAGCTTCGTTCTGGGAACTTAAAATTTTCTGCAAAAAAAATTGAAAAAAAAATTGAAATTTAAAAAAATTGAAAAATTGATAAATTGAAAAATCGAAAAATTTGAAATTTTTTGATTTTTTTAAATGTTTTTCTAGCCAATTTTCTACAAAAATGTTTGAGTCACATTTGCCTGTATTTCTATAAATGTCAATTATGACTAAAATATAGTTTTACATCAGACTTTATTTATCACCCCATGCAGAAAAACTAATTTGAAAAAACAAGCCTCATCTTAGTTTTGTATTAAGACTATGGTCGGAACATTCTGTGCTACTTGCACAGTGACCGGCTATTCTTGCTCTATTTTTTAGTTTGTCAATAACCATAACAAAATTTTGAGATGGAAATTGACATTAAGACAACCTTTTTTGCGCTTTGTGTCCAATCCTTTATAAACTGTCGTGAGCGCCTAGAAATTCTTTAAAATTCGGACTTCATTGATCTTTGTAAAATTCGAAATGGTGGTAGACTGTATAACTGCGGTTGCATTCGGCGCAAGTGGTACTGTGCGCGTGAATCATAGTTTGCTGCTTATTTAGACGGGGATAGTCTCATGATGGATGGGCCGAATGATGGAATTTTTTCAACCAATCAAAATCAGTAATTGCTCTACTCGCGGAATGGTTTTTGCACCAAACCAGTGTCAATATTAGCTGAGAATGAATAATAGCAAGAATATACAATTCATGCACATATAAAAAGTGTGTGTTTTGCTCTTCCATCATTCTTAAATCGGTATCTCTAAAACGAGGTTTTTTCAATGAATCTTCAATCTGGCAAAAGGTGAAATTTTAAGATTCTCTGTTTGATTGACAACGACTTCGCTGAGCTCTTCGCGACAACGAACCAAGAACTTATTTAGTTTAACGATGAAAATTAGATACCGCAGGACTGATCACAAAACAACCTTTGATTTCAGCATTCTGACGACGTGGCCAGAGGTTAACCGATTTCATGGGTGAGTCAATTTTTGAGTTTTAGAAGTTTTATTAACTGATTGTAAAAACTTCATATTATATTGTCAAGCCCTGAACCATGGGGCCAAGTAACCCAGTCAGCTTCGGTCGAACAAAAATTTTTGTTGAAATAGGGTCCCTTAAGTAAGTTGAGAGACTTCGGAGGAACAGATCTGTTGACTCAATAAAGGCCGATAAGAATTAGTGTTTTTTTCGCCCCTGGGAAAAAGGCCACAAGTTGAATTATGTTGTTATAAAATGATATTCTGCATTAGTTCCAATATTTCGTTTTTTTTTGGCAAAAAAATAATCTCAACTTGTGAATGATTTTGATGTCTGTGCAAAAAAGAAGAAAAACAGTTGAACTAAAATTTGCAATAATACGATTTTCTGCAATTAATCGTTTTGTCGTCTATTGTGACTCTATTAGTGTGCCCTTTTCACGTCAGTGGGGATATCGCCTGTGATCGAACTGCACTCAACTAGCTCTGCTTCAATTTTAACTGGCCACACAGATGTGAAGAGGGTGAAGTTCTGTGAGTTTAGTCGGTCGCCCTGGCAGCCTATGATCTCTCAGACAGACATGCCACAATGGTACAGGGCACTCAAGAAGTTTGGCCTCTTGGTCAACTCAGATAGAATGCAAGCGCTTCTAGAATACTCAAGTACACTACCTATATTGTTTTGTTAATTTGTTCACTTAGCCTTTTTTATGTTCGAACTTTCATTTTTACTGAAGAAAAATCGACTAAATTTTTCTTTGAAAATTAGCCCTCACCATCGAGAAAATCCTAGATCCGCCCCCTGATTTTGATGCATAGATTTTGCCAATTAAAAATAAAAACAAAAAAGCGCGTTTGTGCACCGAAGTGTTTCTTGTCACAGTATTTTTTTTCAAAACGCGATTTGAAGAGATCACACAAAATGGGTGTTGAATTATTGTATCTTTTGAGTGTCAATATGTTAACGCTTCAGTTGATAAAAACATCTTTAATGCACAATTGACATTCGTGCTTCAGTTTTTTTTAACTCTCTTTGCTTTATTTTTAGCACCGGGCATGATATACAATGACCTTAAATCAAACAGCTAACTTCTCAAAAAATGTTCCATTCAGATATTTATTCCTTTTTGCTAGGAAAACCTTAATTAGGGTTTTCTGAGCTACAGGCGAGAAACTTTGTTTGGTCAACCTAAAAAAGGTCGAAAACCATTTTTTCCCCTATTTCTCACAAAAGTCCCCCTCTTTGAGAAAATCCGATTTGAAAACCCTGAATTGAATGATTCCAAATTGAAAATAAGGATATCCGATTGCTCCGCAAGTAGCACGGGTGTTCCAAACATATTCCTAAAAAAATTAAATGTTTGTTTCCTTTTTTTATATATATTTTTTAATCATATTGGTGTCAGTTTTAGTGCGTGGTATAATTTGAGAACTATTCAAACGCGTAGAAGCTTAATAAATTAGACATAGTCGACAAAACTCGACTTCAAAAAAGAATGATAAACAAAATTGAAAAATTCAAAATCAAAACTAAACGTTTTCTGATTTTTCTGCACACAAAAAATTTTTTGTTAGGAAACCGTTATAGCCAAGAACGTACTAATTTATACATCCAAAACTAGTTTTCTGTATAGTAAAACTAAGATTTTCTATCCTGGACATCCAAATAAAACTAAACTTCAATATAGCGATTGTTACTCGATTGCTTTACTTGCTCGAAACTGAACTAAAAATCAAAAAGTTTAAACAAGTTTTCTCAAAATTGTAACATCTTTTTTGAAAATTTTTAAATTTGCTGTCCCTGATTTTGCTTTTTATTAGAAAAAATAAACTGAAACACACCCGAATACAAAATTCCTCCCCATGTTAACTGGTCGGAACATGAAAAAGACGACTGGTTTCTGTTCCAGGGTTTTCCAGACACTTCTGGAGCCCAGCAATATAGTGCTGTTCGACAACTGGCGACTGGTGCATGCCAGAAGAGCTTTCATGGGAGAGAGAACTATGATAGGCTGCTACATTACCCACGAGGACTACATCTACAAGGGCAGGCTCATAGGCGCATTCTAGTCAACAGCTGCAGCATCCCCCATGTACTCAAATGAAGCATTTAGATCTTTCATTATGTTTTCATTTTCACGATCATCTGTTTTGATGAAGGGATTTGGATTGGAATAGTTGTTTTCTCACAAACTTAGGGGGGTTATTCTCAAATAAAAGGAAAAGAGTGCAAAAGTTTTCGAACATCGCCAACAGACAGTTGGAAAGAGTCATGAACGCAAAGAAAGGGAAAAAAATGACTGTTTTTTCGATAAACTTTTGAACTTCAAAGAAAAATTATATGGCCTTACAGTTCTTTGAATTTCAAGAACGCTTTATGATTGACAATTTTTTAAAATAAAGCTGACGCAAATTGAAAAAATTGGGCCAATAAGTTAATTTTTTTGTTCCGCTGGGAAATCTGCATGTTAAAATCCTTTGTCGAAACTGAAGTCAATCAGGTTTTTGTGACATTTACACTTTTCTGTTTGATATTGGAGTTTGGGCTCTTTTTCCTTTCCCCCCACCTGCAAATTTTTACATGTAAATATGTTGACCACATTGTCCGATTGTTATAAAAATTTACATACAGACTAATAATGGCACGACAAACATATTTAGTCTTCATACTCAACCTCGTAAAACCACTCGTTACACTAATAAGTTGAAACTGGCGTTTGGGGGAAAGGAAAAGGAGCCGGAGTTTGTTTTCCTTTTAACAAAGGTTATGAACTGAGTTTAAAAAAAACTCGAAAGTCAAACCGCGAAAATCAAATTTGAGCGTGAACAAATTAAGAATTTTTCCTGAAAAAAAAACAACAAAAACAAAAACAAATCGTCGAGACCTGTACAAGAGTCTTATCTATTTTCATGACTCTTGAACAATCTTTCAGTCTGCCAAATGGACATTCTTCAAACATTTCGAGACTGAATGGCTTACATGATGATTTCTTTCAGTTGCTTTGATACTGAAATCTGATGGGAGTTTTATTGGTCCACTTTGCATGTTTGATTTGCCCAAATTCAGGTAGCAGAAATTAACTTGGGTAAATTGGATACAAGTGGTATCTCAATTTTTCTCAAGGAATTTCCAGAGGTTTTTTCCTAGAAATTGTTCTGCGGCCTAATTGTGTGTCAACCCAATAAATTTTTCGAGCTCTTAGAAAACACTATGAAATCCTTATTTTGGCAAACACTCTTCGCAAACATAATGAGGACTCAATAAAAGAATAAAATTTTACACAGCTTCTTTCAAACAGTCTGTAAAGTATTCAGCATCCGTGCAAGTTCGGTGCTAGGTAAATGTTGACTCATACTAAATTATCATTGCGTCCTTGCGTCCTTGAGAGCAATTTATTGTGATGATTATTATTTTGCCCACATTATCACCATCATAAACTTAGTCGACCGAAAGTTGTTGCTTTTGACTTGCTTGACCAGTTTTATCAAGTATGTGTATTTTACAGATTCGGTAATTTTATCAATAAAATTGGCTTGTTTCGCATCTTTTTCCCAAGTTTTCCGAGAAATGTACAACACAGAGGATTCACAAAAGGATCTGATCTTTTATAGGTAAAATTATTTTAACTTAGGACCAACCGTTTATCCCCCTTAATGGACTGACCGTAAATGATCCCCCTTTTTGTCAAATTACTGCTGAACCGTAGGCTTACTGTTGCTACAGACAACAAAAAACGACATAATCCTCCCCCATCATTTATGGTTGCCAAAATTTTCCGAAGGAATCCTCCTTAAGGGCCATTATATTTCACCTATTATTTTGGTAGATCAACCCCGTGATTTTTGTAAGGCCGGCTTTGTTGCAAATTTTAATTTTAAGCAGGGGCGGATTTAGGGGGGCGGGGGGCGGACGCCCCTTCCTCTCAGGGATTCGACACCCTGCCGACCCAAAAGGTCCCCCCTTTGCTACTTTTTAAGAAATCCACTTTTGGCCGACCGACCCTAAAATTTTTCTAAAGGCGCCTTTGGCGCCAATATTTACTAATTTTGAGGGGTGAGCGCGCGCCGAAAAAACGCAATTTTTTGGTCAAAATTTTCCAAAAAGTGCCTAAAAACGCCTTTTTTTGGACTGTTTTTTCAAAAATTTGCCGGCGGCACACAAAATTCTTCTGCCAAAATACGGGGCAAAACAGTGCTTTGGGAGAGCTCAAAAATTCAATTTGGTCTACCCAGGGGCGGATCTAGGATTTTTTTGAGGGGGGGTGGATTTTCAAAAAATTTTCGAAAATTTTGACGACCTTTTTTTTAGGTCGACCAAATTGATTTTCCGAGCTCTTCTAAAGCACTAAAAAGTCCCTGTTTTGGCCAAATTTTCTGCGCCGCAAGCAAATGTTTGAAAAAACAGGTCAAAAAAGCCGTTTTTAGGCACTTTTTGAAAAATTTTGACAAAAAATCGCGTTTTTTTTGACGCGCGCTCCCCCTCAAAGTTAGTATATATTGGCGCCAAAGGCGCCTTTAGAAAAATTTTAGGGTCGTTCGGCAAAAAATGGGTTTCTTAAAAAGTATCAAAGGGGGGACCCTTTGGGTCGGCAGGGGGTCGAATCCCTGACGGGGGGGGCGTCCGCCCCCCCCCCCCCCTAAATCCGCCCCTGGGTCTACCTAAAAAAAAAAGTCGTCAAAATTTTCGATTTTTTTTGGAAAATCCGCCTCCCCCCTCGAGAAAATCCTAGATCCGCCCCTGATTTTAAGATTGAAGCTCGCTTCAAAAAACTGAATTTTTCTATACAAATGTTATGGAAGAGTGCCCAAAAAATAATTAATGATTTCTGGCCTGTTTTTTTCTCCTGATTGGCAAAATCATTTTTATAGAGTTTTAGGGAAGCACTGAAAATCAAATTGGTCAGTCGAATCGGCCTCAAAGAAGAAAAACAAAATTTAAGTTTTTTTTCTAACCACCCCACCCCACCTCATTCTGAGAAAACTATTCCCATCATTTCTGTGACTGATACCGCTAGGCTGATGAGTAGAACAATGATTGCAGAAGATTGAGATTGCCACTTAAACTATATTTTTAAATTGTTCAAGTAAAACTTAGTCGTTTTGGAAAAAAAATGTAGCCAAGTTTTTCTCTTGCCTCGAGAATTTAATTTTTATTAACTTTTAGAAAATCCAGTTTGAAAACTGGTCGGAAAAACTTATTCAAATACCATGTAGTAAAAATAGACTCTTGTACGGTAATAATGTGGCCAATTAGCTTGACTACATTTAATTTGGAAAGCTTTGAATCAAGGTCGATTCTTCAGGCTCATTTAACTTTTTTCTCAAATTAGTATTTCTTCTTTTTCTGCGTGGTGTGATAAAAAGATCTATACGAAAAAAAAATTTACGCTTATCGACAGTCATATTAAGATAGCACAATTGAAACAGTTGATGTAGAAAACTAATTTTAGAAACGGAAAAAAAATCGTGAAAAAATTAAGTTGTGAACCCCAAAATTGCGCTAAAAAACTCCAAAAACTTAAGTTTAATCGGATACAATTAAATTTCGATGGCTTAGTTTAAGCTTTAAAAGGCTATTTTTTTGCCTGCAGGTTCTGCTTTTTTTAAGCTCAAAATGAGATATTGAGAAAGTGTTACCAAAATTTATAAATGTCGTTCGAATCACGACTGGAGAAACTTTTGTATGATATATCAATCGAACCATTCCGATGATTAATTGTGGTACCTGATTTTGCGTGGAAAAAAATAAACTAAACCACACCCGAATAGAAAACTCTTCCACAGTTTTTAAATGGTCGGAACAAAAAACACAACTCAATTCGGCAATGTTGGCAATGTTTTCTTTAAATTTCTGTAACATATCCATTGAATGGAGCTTAGAGCATCAGTAAATTGGAAATTTGCTGTATTTTATGATTAATCCATCAATTTTATACGAGAAAAGGTAGAAATATGGAAAAGTAGACCAGCATGCCCCCTTTTTTCAGAGAACTGCAAGTAATAAAGAACGGAGCGACGAAAATGTGGAGATGTCTAAAACATAGTTTGCGACAATATTTTCCAATATTACCACAAAATGTCTACTCAAAACTTCATTCTTCTTGCTCATTTATGGTCGCATGAAATACGGTGACAACGAGTATTGAATTGATCTAGCTGGCTATACAAACAGCAATTCATTGAAGCAGTTAATTTCGCAACTGCTGTTCGAAAAAGTTCCAGGGACGAGTCTTTAAACAGAGGAGGGGTTTGTAATTCAGGGTTTGTATTTAGGATTTCAAAAAAATGGAGGAAGATTTGATGAATAGAAATGATTTTCTGTTGTGATATACTGTCAAACTAACATAAGTTTACCAGTTGTTACTGAGGATAGAAGCCAAGCAACACTACATCCAAAAGTTCGACAATAAGTAAGGCAGGGATTGATCATTTCCTCCGACAAATGGCGGGTATACAATGGCCTTGATGCAATTCCAGTGACACCAACATACAATTATGAAACGGTCGACAGCTGGATCAACCGGTGATCACTCTAATGGGAAGCGAAGTTCCAATCAAAGCTGGGTGTTCTTACATGGATGTTAGAAAGCCATTGAAACGAGTGTATCTAGCACCAGAGATGGGAAAAACTCACTTGGACTCATTTCAAAAAGGCATCGAGACACATTTTTGATCGGAGTTCTTATAATTAATACAAAGTTCGAGTGCGTAAGACTAATGTATTCTGAAGGAGCCTGGCCAAGTTGCAGGGACCAGTCTACCATAGTACCAACACATAGAGCATACTTCTCATCTTAGTCTGTCCGAAAGTTGGATCAATAGAGCCATGTGACAGTGCAATCGCTGTTTTTGGTTGAATCCGCAAAGTTAATCCTTCTGATTTCAAATCCAAAACTGACAATGCTAAATTCTGCTTAATTGTTTTAGTTTAACAAAATATATCTTATCAGCCTTCAAAATTATTTTGATGCTTCTAGGTTCAATCAGATGTTAATAACTTAACGAAACACAAATGACTAAGGGCACCCAATAGCTAAGCAATTAGCTTAGTATTTGATGCGAATAAACTT